AAAGGCCAAGACCGACTTTGCATTTCCCAACTCCCATCGATAGTGGAAATAATCAATTTTTTCATGCTTCTACGGCAGTTTTCATGTAGTTTGCGGTCATTTTGTACTGGCCAAAGTGAGAGCCAATAGCTGGATGCCACGCATACACAGAAATATTCTATTGGCCAGCGTGAGACCCAACAGCTGACTGACACGAATGTTAACTAGAATGCTAGCATGCAAAAAAATCCGATATCTGCATTCGTCACAAGTGGGAAAAATTTAAATCTTCCTGGCACTTTACTCCAATTGGCTCATTCGTTTGCTTAAACTCAACGTTGATTCTGATTCCGCAGAACTGGGTTGGGTGTGAAAAGTATTTGTTGTTAACATTCTTTTTTTCATTCGGTTTTTCCAGTTACGGGTCCTTTTTTAAAGCTGATCGTTTTGTGTTCATTTTGTTTAGTTCTTTTTTCGTAACAGATTTAATGTTTAATATAGAGCTTAGAAAAAATTCGTAGTGTGAGATAGGCAAGAAGTAAGACATGTAGGAACATCAGCACGGCAAAGGGCACTCCTTTAAATGCAAGGAAGGGCAAAAATGTTTTAAGTCAAGTGATAGCGATTGCTGTATGAGTCGTACGATTTTTTAATCAAGCACGGGCAACGCCGGGCCATGCTGCTAGTATTAAATAAATATCAGTCACTATTTATTTTATTGATTGTATCATTTCTTTTATATTAGTAGGATGTATATATCGATATGTATTGCTTTATAATTCTTTGAAGTGTGTATATATGTGATATTCTTTAGATATATGAGAGACTATATAATGACAGGCATATTTATCTTTACATTAACATATATTAATTTTTTTATTTATATTTGTATGTGTGTGTATACTTATGGATATATATATACCATATTTCCATAATATTTACTCCCCTCTAACTCTACAAATGTCGAATGTATAACTAATTCTAATTTCTATATTTCCCCCCCTCTATAACCTCTTTACCTGTATTAATTATAATTTATAAACTTTCTCCTCTTATAAAATCTCCCCAACTCTCTTACCATTAATCCTTTTATCTCTATATATTTTAAAGTTATTTTTAAACACCTATTTATTCCTCTTTTAATTTTAAATTAATATTTCATTCTTTATATTACTCCAAATTAATGTCATAAGGTTAATATTCGGGTTTAATTTTATATAACTTCTTCCCTTTAATACCAATACTTTCTACCTTCCCCTGGCCGCTGTCTCGTGCCTTTCGTCTGACTGATAGGGATACATTCGGTGTTAGTATTTCGACTGTTTTTTTTTCTTTCTTTCTTTTAGCTTTCACTGTTAAATTTCTATTTCTGACACGAACTCAGTCCACACCGGGGTTGATAAAACAGATGAACAATATCTTCGTCAGCCGAAATAGGCTAAGCCTAATATGAGGTGATTTTGCATTTTATTGTTTATTAATTATTGCTCTATAATAATAAATACATTCAGCTTTTTTTGTGGATCAGTATTAATATTTTATATTACTAGGATCCAGCTGGATGATTAGTGTATTTAGGCAAGAATCCTTTATTTATACATGTTTCATTAAAGTCGACGGACAAGGTACTACGATTAAGTTTTTATTTAATATTTTGTGTCCGAAAAAGGTAAGATATAAGATATCTGACTGATGTCACATCAGTCGGATATGATCCCAGCTTGAAGCAATCAGACGTCTTGCCAAAGTGAACAGCGAAACAATCTGTCTGTGGATGACTATATATGCTCACAGAAATTCGATTGAGCTCTCTAGGGAAAGGGCGTTTTAAAAAAAAACAGGGGCTCTTACTGCTATTAAGCATTATTCTTCAAGTAAATTGAATTGAGTTCTCCGAGCCGCCGGCGTATTTAAAAAACCTTAAAATTCACTTCGCTTCGTCCGTGTGACGATGGCCTAGAGGTAAGATATATTATTGATGTCAAATCAATCGAGTTTCAATCCTGCCTTGAAACAATCGGTTGATTAGCCACACTGAAGAGCCATGGTACAGCGATATATTGTATCGAGCATACTTATAGATAGTTTTTTTTTTTAATGTTTTTTTTGAAAGTGGTAATATCCATATGCATCAATGTGCGTGTGTGTATGTATATAATTGCATATGTAGATATACCATGACATTTGTGCGTACAATTGTATTTTTATTATTATTACTTAGATATGTTTATTAGTCTTTCAGTTATAATTACATTTATGCATCGGAGGTGAATTTTTGTACATTTATCTCTAATTCTTTTCTTTTCTTTTTTTTTAAAAACCTGCTTCCGATATATATATATATATATATATATATATATATAGATAGATAGATAGATAGATAGATAGATAGATAGATAGATAGATAGATAATCCGCTACCACAAGAAAAGTTGGTTTTCTGTGTCGTGCCAGAAGGATTTTCTCGTCCATCCTTCAGATCTATAAATCAACCATACGTCCTTGCATGGAATATTGCTGACATATATATCCTGGTGTCCCCGCTGTAAGTCTCAAGGTCCTCGACAAAATCCAGAGACGAATCTTCAATGCCTGATCCTGATCTGGCATCTCGTCTACAGTCGCTTTGTCACAGACGTGCTGTGGCTTCCCTCTGTCTCTTCTACAAGTATTTTAACGGCAACTGTTGCGACGAGCTACATTCAATGCATGAATTTATATATTATTTTCGTTGGCATTACATTCATATATATATATATATATATATATATATATATATATATATATATATATATATATATATATATATATATATATATATATATATATATTGTTCGGGTAGGTGTGTGTTTCTACTACATCTCAAACTCTACGGTAAATATTTGTCGGCTTTATACTTGAGTCTTTAGGTAAGCGATGTTTGTGTTTTTGATTGAGTCTTGAAGTAAATATAAATGAAGTTAAATATCAATCATATTTATTGTTGGATCTGTGAACATTTATTTCGAAGGCGAATCACCTGCTGTAGAAGTCAGCGTATTCCTGACCTGGTGTTAGGGGAAACATCACACGGAAATATTCGGTTTCAGTCACATTCCCACCACCTAACGTATCTTTCCTTTGCATTTTCTGTAAATATTTTGATCGTAATTTTTCTGTACTTTCCTCTAGGGAAACCTAGATTTATGAATTTAAGCGCAGTACTAGATTGACGGATAGGTTTCATTATTTTATACTTGAAATATCTAGAGGTAACCGTAAGTTCTATGCAGCAGAACTCACTTCCGGCTTCTCTGCTTTCCACTCAAATTTGATCCTCAAAAATTTAAATGCAATGTCAATTGTTATCTTCTGTCTTATTAATTCGTGTTCTGTTATCGTTCTCTCTCCTAAAATTTTTTTTTTCTTATTTTCTTACACCTCTTGCGTCTTAGTGACTTTATTTCCTTGCTTGAGTGGAAATGATTAAAACAAAATGAATGTGAAAATATTTATTGTTTCTTAAAAAAAATGGAAAATCCCTTTACTGTGCTGTATTTGTAATACACACAAATGAAAGCGCTGTTAAATTTTGCACATATTTAATTACAATAGAAACTCCCCTCAGTGGCATTCTTAGTATAAGTCTGCTACCAAATCCATTTAAAAAAAAATGGTACAAAAACCTGCAAAGAAAATGAGTGGATTAAGGAAAGATTTAAAGAAGGAGCTAACGAAGACAATGACAAACAAACAGCTGAAAAAGATTAGATAGTAAAGAAGCGTTCCTGAAAACCATGAAAAAAGGGAGAAAAAAACTTGGACGGAGAAATAAAAAAAAAAAAAAAGCTGGGGTGTGGAATGGTTGTGAAAATACAGTAAAAATAAAACCAAATAAGACGGGACAAAAAAAAAACAAGAGCGCGGGGGTGTGGTTTTGGGGTGGGGGTTACCTCAAGAAGAATTTGAAAGCATGAAAAATGAGGAATTCTGACCAGAACAAAAGACACCATTGCACAGGAAATAAACAGAGATGAAGGGAAGTGGGGGACCGTAGAAAAACACTTCAAATTTTCAACAAAATGACAATCATGGTTCTCAATACGAGACGCCAACTCGCTCGTCTTAACCTCAAAACTTGTTTCCTTTCAGGCACCCCCATTCCCCCGCTCCAATCATTCATTTGTCTCGTGTCTTTTCTTCATTAGTCGGGCTTCGTTTTCCTTCTCTGCCGCCGTGCTCCAATCTCACCTGCCCACCACTGTCAGTTCAGACCGCCTTCGCGTACTACTCTCCACCTGCTCCGAGTCCTCCAATTAAAATTAAATTTTGCCAGGTCTTTTTTTCTTCTTCTTCTTCTTTGAGTTATATTTTAATACAAAACTCTTCGTCCTTGTTTGTTTTTCTTCGTGTCCAGCCTCATCTTTCAATAAGGCAACTACAGAAACAAAACAAAGTAACGCCATCAACTCTGTCTACTACTACTACTACTACTACTAATAATAATAATAATAATAACAACACATCAGTCACCATCTAGATATCTTCTGATCTTAATTGATTTAGAGTGTTTCATTTTTTTACTCATTTCACCTCAAGCAAGGCAATAAAGAGACTAAGACGCAAAGGCTTACGCAAGAGTGAAGAATATGAGAAAAAATAGGAAGAAAACATTATAAAGGAGAAAGAACAATAAAGCAAATGAAGAAGACCGAAAATAACGACTAACATTCCATTTAAATGTTTTAAGATCAAATCTGATTGAAAACTTAATGGCTGGGAGAGATTTCGACCAGTAAAAAATCCTAAAGAAGAAACTATTAATATAGAAATTACGGTTAAAACTATCAATTTCAACTGTACATGATGAGACCTAACTGCCAATCTAGTCAGTCAGTTATGTGCCATGCGTGATACACGCTTAGACAATCATGTATCTTTCGATGCATAACGGACGAGGCAATTTTTCCCGCAGTCGGTTGCCGTTTTTTTCTGCGGTAGACCAGTTGCCATCCGAGGCTATAGAATCCGGTCTGTCTTGCTATTCACCCATAGCTGGGGGGAGAAGAAGAGGATTCATACCTTTCTCAATGGTATTAGCACGTAAGTGAATTTCGATACATAACGGACGAGGCAATTTTTTCCCGCAGTCGGTTGCCGTTTTTTTCTGCGGTAGACCAGTTGCCACCCAAGGCTATAGAACCCGGTCTGTCCTGCTATTCACCCATACCTCAGGGAAGGGAAGACAAGGATTCATACCTTTCCTAACGGTATTGGCACGTAAGTGAATGTAATGGATTCGACTGGAATTCGAACTCGGCTCTCAATACGAGCCACTATCTATCATGCCACTCTAGTACTACACCAAAATTCGCAAAGTTGAGGTACCAAAGAGGAAATTAATATTTATTTTGAATAATAAAAAAGGTGCCACAAGTGGAAGGTTTGTATTCAAACTGTTTCATCTTGAGACTTAGATTGCCACGATTACAGACACAAACCTACAATAGTATCCCTTACACGAGAAAAACAGATTCTTACTTCCTATTCTTACTACAGTCGCCATAGTATCTCAAGGTTTTTATATAGTCCTAACTATTTCCCACATGTACAATTTGTGGGGGGGGGGATAAAATTAACAACATTTAAAAATTAAACCCCGATTACCAAAGTGGGAAGTTCATCAGAATAATTACCATAAAATATTCATAACTAATTTACAGTGAAGATACATTAAGGTGATGTCAGTGTAACTGAATCTGAGGGGCCAGGTCAGGATCAATAACATTGCATCCTATTCTTTGGATTTTATCAAGAACTAGCAGCATGGCTCGGCGTTGCCCGTGTTTGATTCAAAAATCGTACGACTCATACAGCAATCGCTATCACTTGACTTAAAATATTTTTACCCTTCCTTGCCTTTAAAGGAATGCCCTTTGCCGTGCTGATGTTGCTACATGCCTTAATTCTTGCCTATCTCACACTGCGAATTTTTTCTAAGCTCTATACTAAACATTAAATCTGTTACGAAAAAAGAACTAAACAAAATGAACACAAAACGATCAGCTTTAAAAAAGGACTCGTAACTGGAAAAGCCGAATGGAAAAAGAATGTTAACAACAAATACTTTTTCACACCCAACACAGTTCTGCAGAATCAGAATCAACGTTGAGTTTAAGCAAGTGAATGAGCCAATTGGAGTAAAGTGACATGCAGATTTAAATTTTTCCCAATTGTGACGAATGCAGCTATCGATTTTTTTGAATGCTAGCATGCTAGTTAACATTCGTGTTAGTCAGCTGTTGGGTCTCACGCTGGCCAATAGAATCTTCCTGCCTATTCGTGGCAGCCAGCTATTGGCTCTCACTCTGGCCAGGACAAAATGGCCGCAAACTACGTGAAAACTGCCGTAGAAGCATGAAAAAAATGTTTATTTCCAATATCAATTGGAGATTGGGAAATGCAAAGTCGGTCTTGGCCTTTCTGCTGACTTGGAGTATGTGCATGTAAATTTTGGTGCAAATCCGTCGAAAATTGCGACCGTGCTTTCGTTACACACAAACACACATCCTGCCTTTTATAGATAGAGATAGCTAAATACATAGCAGAAGCACAAGACTAGCAATATTCAATGCAATGAGGAATGGTAGACTTATAAATGTGTAAGATAGATTCTAGCGAGAAAAATTATCTAGCAGAACACAATGAACCTAATTTCCTAGCTGACCTAGCAAATAATTCAATAGAATCACTCCACGGAAAGCATTAGCCTAAGAAGGCGCAATGGGCCATTCTACTGGACGTTAGCGTCAACTATAATGATGGAAATAAAGACGATACATAGAAACATGTAAGTTGCTGGAGCAAGTGGTGAAACGAAGAAAGTGTTAATATATATATATATATATATCTTTTTTTTCTTACTGAATTAAGATATGCTATGCTTAATAGATCATACAGTCTTACAAATTGTATTCCTAATGGGAATCTTCATGTCTGTTAAAAAATAAAATATACAATACGGGCTTTCAACTTATATTTATATGTGTGTGTGTGTGTGCGACATATTTTAGTAACTTGCTTAAACGTTTTTTTACGAAATACTCATATTGAGTAGATGCTTTTTTTAGGAATACTCATATTGAGTAGATGCCTCTATAGCTCTAGTTTTTATTATTAAACTGTGCATTTATTTATTTACATCTAACGACCTGATTATTCGAGAAAACTTCTTAGAAAAATACTTATTTCTCTAATATTCAGGACGGTAGATGATAGATATACTGTCTGAAGTCTCATGAATTTTTTATTATAACTTTCAACCAATAAGGCCCAAAAGACACTCAAGACAGTGGGTTACTGTGCAGTGTTGTATGATCGTAAGAAAAAAAATATATATATATATATATATATATATATATATATACACTACACGCAC